TGGTATCTGACTTTGCTCACTGGGATACTTGTATTTATTCTCTGAAGTCAGACAAGTTTAGAGTAATAGGAATAATAGAATAAGCATGGGAAAAGAAGTATTGAGTTCCTGTTCATTTCTGACTCTACTAGGATTTGAATTGTGCAGATCTACATAAGTTCCAACCTTCCCAAGACCCAGGTTCTTAATGTTTACTATATTTGTGGGAGCAACTTGAAGGTGGTGACTATATATTATTTATTCCTAATATCCAAGATGGTAAAACAAATATTACTAATTGGAGAGCCCTTTGAGGACAAGAAAATGTCTTACTGTTCTTTGTTGCACCCTAGTATTTTAAAAATAAATATGCATGATATATATATATATATATATATATATATATATATATACACACTATACTATACTATAGATCACAATAGAATGTTGAGTGAATAAATGGAGATAAGTTTGTTGCATGAATGAATAAAAGATTTATACTAACATCAGGCCTACCTGACACGGGGAGGGTCACATGAAAATACACGTGCACCTGGATTGTATAAGCTGAAAAAATTTAAGGTGTTCTCATAGTTATATATCAAACAGAACATACTGATTCCATCGTCTTTGCTCTTAGGCACATTTATAAATATATCTGTGGCATTTTAAATCGTTCCCTGTGCTCTGCTCTGTTTAGATAGCAACTGATTAAAGTCTGCTTAGCTCTAAATAGCTTTATGTATTCTAAACTAGAAATGTATTTTTTCATCATGATATCTAATTAATTTTTTAAATGCCAGTACTAAAGCCTAGACATATGGACTATTAGTTTGACTATCAAAATATGTTATCATTAGGGTAACTATCACAGAATTTTACTACTTTTAAGAAATAAGGTTTTCTGAAGGCTCTGTATTTTTAAAACCTATGAGTGGTTAAATACTGTCACAAAAGAGCCTTCAGCTTGATGTATGGGGCATATTATTGCAGGGATATGTACTGTCTTATGGCATTAGGACACTTGAACCCCAGGGAGAAATTTGGGTAGAGTGTCTGGCCAATATGTTCTAGCCATCTTCCTGAAGCTGCATAACGCTTGCTGTGTTTTGACCCCAATTCTCCCAAAGCACATTTCTCCTCCCTCTCACTATGTTTCAGACTCCCACTGATGCATCATTAAAGGTTGGGGCAGATCCTATGAGACCATACAGTCATTCCTTTGTGTTTTACATTTAATTCTGCCCCAACTTCTAAAAAAATGAATGGGATAGCTATTCTTCCTCAACTATCTTTAATGAAACATGCTTAACTTTTTAAAAATCATGCAGTTAGAATTTCTTATAATAAATGAAATTTCTGCTATTGCAGTTTAAACCTCTTTGTTTACTTATGGAGAGGAAAAAAATCAAAAAGCTTGCCTTGATACCCTGAAATTTCTATATATGTTAGCTCTATTATAACAAATGTCTTTGTATTGCACAGATCCACATACAACATGAGCCAAATTATGTCCCCATGTGTAACATAAAGAGAGAAATGGTTGTCCCAAGTGTCAAAATAACAGATAAGAAGGCTTACCCTAGCTCTTGAAAGACTGTTAGATCACATCTTGGAATAATTAATGAGTGCTCTCAAGGAGCACAGGGAGGCCATCTGTGGGTCCCATGCTCCTCATCAGATACTCTGAAATTACACCTCACCTTGAATGGTGTGCTATGAATCCCAGGACACTCCTCTCCCAGTAGCTCCTTTCCTTCAACCTGCTTCTTTCTTCTCTCACAAAATTTGCTTTCACTGAATCACCCTCTGTTGCTAAGTTGTTAGTGCTAAAATATAGGACTGGAAATTGAATTAGGCAACCCTATGGATATTGTAAGTGTCTGATTATTTGAAATCTGGCAGCTTAGGCATCGAATGAGAAACATTTTCAATTTTCATTCAAAAATCTAGGACTCACATAGAGGTATTTAAGCCCACTTGACAGAGCTCTTCATTCAGAAGAAAAAGACCAAACTCTAGGGAATTTCAGTCTCATGAGATTTGCCAATCAACCATGAATTTTCACTGTGACTGTTATACTAATGTTTGGCTGACTCCTTGAAGGCAATGTTGTCTGAACTAAAACATTCCAGTCAATTAAGTGTCACAGTCACATTCCTCTTCCCACCCGGTTCTTCACTACGTTCCACCTACACCATTCTGTTTTTCTAAAATGACAATTTAAATGAATAAAAAGCCAGCTACCAACAAATCTATAACTCTGACAAAGCTGTAGGAGCTTTTCAAGGATTCAGAAATAGGTAATTAACAATAAATTATGTATTACATCGTTTAGACCAGATTTCCCATCTGGGCAACCCTTCTAATTTTCTAACTTGAAAACTGTATGAAACATATGAGGAAATTCTCATTTGGAAGCTATATTCAGGCATGTATAAGTATGTGACAATGAATCCACTATCATATATCATTGTAATGCATAAATATATAAATAAATAAATAAGCTACATTCAGTTGAAGGTGACAAAAGAACATGTATCTACTTAGCAAATACAACCCACTCTATTTTTAAACAGTGTCACCCCTCCCAACAACTTGTGTGCTGCTTTTGTGGACATAATAGGATAAATAAATATTTTATTATTATTAATACCTATATAAAATATGGACAAGTAGTTTGAATGATCTAACCAGTAAGTTGATCAATAATTTATATAGATTTTAAGTAAGGTAACAAGGAAAAGGAAGTATACCCTCCAAAATATAAGTGGTTTCCATTATTTCTAGTCCAAATTTGTACAGTTCCATAGTAATGAGCTCACTGTTGTTAGATCACAGGCAGTATGGGTTAGGGGTGGGCAGTGGGGAAGTGAAAGAGAGGTAGAGATCACAGGATTAAAGATCACCACAGATATACTCAGGGGATGCTGTAGTTGAGCCCCCCCCAACCCCCCATCTGACTCTACTCTTATTCTCCAGGGTTCTTCTAGACTGGTTCTTTCCTTGTTTATACCAACATCGTTCTTGACCCTGGTATACACTCCAGTTGTTCACTAGGCAAGTATAACTGCTTAAGAAGTCTCTTTGTTTCACTGAACATCTGCTAGCATTCATGTGTTACAAGAAAAGCCTTGAATTGTTCAATTTTATTCCAGTGTATACTTACTGAGCTCATCGTAGGTATAAGGGATACTGTAATAATAACTCAGGCCCCTTCATTTGGATTTTCTATTTCCATAATGTTATTTTCTTGATTCTATCCCCTACTCTTTGACGTTTTTCTACTTCCTTTTCTGTTCAGTGCTTTTACTACTATCCCTAGAGCAAACTAAATTCCCAAGTAATAACTTAGGTGAAGCACTGAGCACATTCAGTAGCAACATGGGGATGTTTATAATACCTACCAACTGCTCTATTAGCTCCAGTCACAAAATAAGCTAGAAGAATAGAGTAACAATAACCTCCATTATTTTATTCTTTTATTTGTAAGTTCTGCTGGAGGCAAAAGGCATACTTCAGGTAATAAAATCTTTGGCAGAGTATTATTTCATAGAGGCAACAACATTCTATAGAAAATGAAAGCAGGCAGGAAGTCAGGAGTTGAGAGATCCTGCTCCTCCAAACATTGGGTAGCCTTTAGTAAATAACTGCCACAATGCTTACCTTAGTGTGGTTTGCAATTTTGCTAAAATGGAGCTAGTATTTATTATTATCTGCTGGATATATGGGTTAAAGATTAATTCTCTATCTATGTCTTTTTCTTTAGATGTGAAGAAGTGCTAAGTAAAGATTTAGCATTTATAGTCTGATCATCAGATAATATGATTCAGTGAGTATTACACAAAGAACAAAAACTCTTTTTTTTTTTTAAAAAACAAATTTGGCAGCTAACTTCTAGGCTGCAATGGTTTTGAAACCAGCATCTATGGGATCTAACTGGTAACAGTCCCTTTCTACAGTCTCCTTGTCTGAATAGGTTATCTGAACTTTTCCCTTAGAGTAATGGACTTCTTTTTTTCTGAAGACCCTGGGAAATCATGAGAAAGCATTCTTAAGTCTCCTCCTCAAATGTTGATTTGATGAGTGGAAGAGAATCAGAAGCATGAGACTATAACAGAGAGGTCACTAATGAAAGAATGGAACATAAGGGAGGATGGACATGTCCTCTTGGTCTCCTTTATCAGAATACTGAAATGATGACATATCCATGACAGCTCCAAGGCCGGAGGTGAGAAGGCCTATTAAACATCCAATTTCATGGTATCCATGCTAAGAAAAAAAGAGTTTTTTCTCTTTTTACTGAGTGCACCTACTCAGAAATATTATATATTGCATATTCAATAAATTCTTAGAAGACACTTCCATTAGTAGTCTGCTTCCAATTATATGTAAAGTTCTTCTGTTAATAAATCCATAACTTTGTAAACAATTCCCTTAAAATCTTTGAATTTCTGAGAGAAATTCTATTATTAAAAATTAAAATTTTTTATTATTAAATGAATTTCCAGATTCATTTAGTAATGCCATTCTCAGAAAACTCCACTGTTTTGTCACCCTCCTCAACTCTCCATTACTGGGATAAAAACATAAAACATAAAAACGTTTATTAGAAACAAGCTTAAGAATTCTTTCACTTAGAAGCTCTAATATGAACCAAACACAAAAGGAATAAAAAGGAGTAATAACTCAGTATTTTAGATCTACTTCCTGATTTTTGTCTAAACACATTGTGACCAAGTGGCCTTTACATTTTTTTCATGCACATATACTTATATATATATATATTTTTTTCAACACACATATATACTTAAATGTATATATTTCACAACATGGAATGGAAACATAGCAAATGCTTAGATTCTGTGCAAACACATAATCCTTCCTGTGAAGGTAACATATTAATATTACAAAAGTAAATCATGGAGAGTAACATGCAACAACTGAGAGGAGAAAAACAGGGTGGGGGCAGGGGAATAGGAGCAACACAAAGAATGTAAAGAACGAAAAGTGTCATTGACCTGATTTGTCAGAGCTGTTGCCTGTGATTGGAGTGATGGAGCAGCTGGGATTAGCCTTTGCGCTGTCCTTGGAAGAAACCATTTTGGGTTTATTTTTCGTTGCCTCTAGTGCTTTGACCTTCTTGGCATGTTTACTTCCTTTGTAGTGGGCCTCGGCCTGGCTCTACAAAGGAGAACAAATCAGGCTCATTTTTTGCTACTTACAAACACCACAATGGATGACCATGCAGGGAAAAAAAATACATTCAATCAAAGGCACCACAGACATTTACAACTCAGCACTTGACTATGTTTCGGCATTTAATGAAGTGGTAGATCAGTACCGAAGAGGTTTTAGATAATGAACACTTCCTTGTATACAACAGAGGATCTGTATTTTTTAAAAAAACAGAGATTACATGAGTGGACAACGGGATTAGGGCAAAATTGTGAAGAAGGTGAGCTTTGTCATCAGTGCCCTCCCACCAATACCCCTTGGGGTTATTTTTCAAGCATGTGGCTGACAGCAGCAGCTTTGAGTGTCCTACCAAGGTCATGCATGTGGGCATGACCTTCTACAACCATTTCCCTTCAAACTAAATACCCATCTCTCCTATTTTCTCCCAGCTCTGTTCTGAGACAGGGTGATAAAGCAACATGTTAACAGATGCTACTGGGTGGAAAGGACACTACATTCTGGAGACATCCACATGTGCTTCATGGGTCACTTTGATGATTCCAGTTCCAAATACAGATACTGTATGTTACAAAAGAGGTAAGGATTATCCTTATTTCTGAAGTCATAGCAATTAGTGTTAAATTAATTTATACACAAAACATAAGTAGATCTGTGACTTCAGTACTAGATCAAAAGGAAGAAAAGAGGGCAAGACAAAAAAGAAAAACAAACAAACAAACAAAACCCTTTCAATAAAAAAAGAACCCCAAACCAAATTATAACAAACTTAGAAAACATTGAGTTAATTTATTGACATTTAGGAAATCTCCTTCTCCCTCCCAAATCTTTTTGGCACCTAGTACTAATGGACACATTAACAAAAGAATCTAATTAAATTCACTTGAATCTTATCTTGAACAGACCAAAAAATATGGAATGCATTTTGATAAGTACAGACAAAACATATGGCATAGTGACTTAATTATAAGGTGAAATGGACGATAAATCTCACAAAAACAAGATGAATTTTTAAGTAAAGTTTTTTTTTTTTTTTTTTTTTTTGTACCAGGGATGGAACCCAGGGGCACTTAACCACTGAGCCACATTCTCATCCCTCTTTTATATTTTATTTAGAGACAGGGTCTCACTGAGTTGCTTAGGGCCTCACTAAGTTGCTAAGGCTGGCTTTGAAATCGTGATCCTCCTGCCTCAGACTCCCAAGCCACTGAGATTATAGACATGCACCCCTGTGCCCCACTAAATAATAACTTTTTAAACATCAGTTTTCTAAATTTATCTGTATGTGTATGAAGATGGTAGGGTAGGCTTCACACATACATGAGGTAACAACTGTAGTTCAGAGTCATAGATGTGTAAAGGTGAGCTAAAATAGCAAACATGTATGCAGAGGAGATACAGAACAAAATAAAAGGGACCAGAGAGGAGTGGTATAAATGAAGATGTCCTAAATTTAACCTTTTGATTTGAGATTCAAAGAAAGAGATACATAAGAATAGGCAGAGAAAATTACATTCTGGTGGGAGAATTTAAGCTTCAGGAAAGGACTGTTGCAGAAGTGCCAGGGCAGTGGGTGGGTGTGGCTGGAGAGAAGCTTAGATGGGCCTCTTGGTAGAACATCTTCAAAACGAGACTAAGGAAAGTAGATAGGTCAGCATAGGGAGTAGGAGATTCTCAAGTAAATGCACGATGATACAAATTTCAAATGGGAGGATCTCTACAATGGCTATTCTGTACATGTTTGTTGATTGGATATGAGAGAAAGATAGGCAGCAGGGAGAATATATGATTTTTCTTGTGAAATCACAACTGCAGAATATGAATATAATAAAAATGTCTTAGCTATAATAATATCATTGAATTCTTAAAGCCTTGGCTATTATCAATCCTGCTTGCCATCCCTTACTTAAGAGAACTATTTCATTGCTAACTAGTAGATATGAAGTACTCTTCTGACAGCCCAGCACTAGACTAAGCCATCTCAGGCTGATTTTTGTGTGCTGTTGGAATGTTTTTCTGACTTCTTGGCTTGTTTCCTTCCAGCTCACCAGGCACATGTTGCTTTGCTATCTTTAGACATATAGCTATAATTGGTTCAGCAGAATTGATGGTGAGCACCACTTTAAGGCCAATGTCACTTCCAGGTGATGGTGGGGCATAAACTCAGCTTATCCTGAATGGATAAAAGATGATGATGAATTTGTTCATGTCAAATGTATGGTTGATGAAACCATAAGTGTCACAGGTCATGTAATGAGTCGAATATTATATTTATATACCACCTGTCACATCCAAGTGGAAACTTGATGATAGATTCATGCTATTGTTTTTTCAGTGGTCCTTGGTCTTACTATGTTATTTCACATGGAGTGGGAGGTGGTTAGAAACATAATGTACTGCCTTGGTAGTACTACACTCTAGGGATAGATAGGTTTAATTTATGTATTACAACTAAAGATATAACAGTGATTTCCCTAGTCTACAATCTCTATCCTGAATATCTTTCCATAAATATCTCTGTAGATCTTTATTGACTTCTTACTGCTCTTGATTGGTTTGCTCAAGGACTTTTCAAGTTGTTCTTTGTCAAGGTGAAAAAAAAAAATCCCAGGGGAAGACAAAAGTGTAACATGTTAATCCTTTATTTATTAATGAGAAAGTAGTTAAATCTACATAGTTGTGGTTATAAATTAAGAGTAATCAAAAAATTCCAAATAATGTGAAGTATAATAATAATTATTATTATTGAGCATTGTTCCAGGCACTAAGTTTATTTAATCCTCACAATACCCTAAAAGATAGTTATTAGCCAGCACTTTCCAAACTAGAAATCGAGCATACAAACGTTAAGTAACTCATCAAAAGTCACACAGTAGGTACAGATGTCACTTAATGGACATAAATATTTAATTATATGCCTATATATTATACCTACACTAAGTTAAACATTATAATTTTATGTGAAGTGAAGAAGTACAAAGAAAGCACACTGCTTTTAATTACTCAGTGAAAGATTATACCTTAATGCTACTGAAATTTCTATAAGTTGGAAAATATCTACATAATTTTTGGGTAATATACTCATAAGTAGCTAAAAAGATCCCACTTTTTTAGGTATGTAACAGTTTTCACAAGATACAAGGACTCATCTTTCCAAGTACAAGAAATAGGACAGTGTTACCTTAGTGCCCTTTGGCTAAAGAAACATATGGTTCTCTAAATAAAACTTGGTACTACAAGATAAGCAGAATGTGATTTCCTCATTACTAATTCCTGGCATCACTGCAGAAGGTTAACAGTGTCAATTAACACCTGGGATAAAGATCCAGCAAAGTGACACCTCACCGGATGCCAAGATGGAAAGAGCTCTCCATAACTGTGTTCCATTTTCCTTTTAAGCTGTGGGCATGGAGAGAAGGTCAACGAGGGTTAGCTTCCACTGACTGTTGTTTGGGAAAAGTGAAGTGGAATATCGTGGAATAAAGACAGGGTGGTAGGCGCCACTCACTCCCATTTGGCATCTTTCCAGTCCCCCTGTGCTGTTCTTGATAGTGGCACTTTGCTATCTTTAATACTGTGTCTGAGGCAGTGTCAACAGCTTCTGCTTCCTGGGCAAATCTTCAAGTGAAACTGAGACACTGTTAAATAGCAATCAGACTAACATGACTTCATTATCCAGGAATCTCCTTAATTGAGGAGTGAAAGCAAGGACAAGAGCCAGAGAACCCAGGAACCAGGTGATACAATCAAGTCCAATCTACAACGAATCTTGTATCATTTAGGAGAGACTTTGCTACACTGACAGCTTTACACCCAATGAGAAATCAGCAGACACAGGGTTGTCTAGTACTAACAGTATTTTCCTTCTTCCTTTCCTGAAGTGCTGTGTCCCCAAGGGTCAGTGACCAAAGAATCCTCTGGACAAGAACTGCCAGAATGATGGTTGGGGATGTAGCTCAGAGTGTGTGTTTGGCATGCCTGAGGCCATGGATTTGATTCCCAGCATCCCAAAAAAGGGGAAGCAAAAGAAAGTTCATATGAAGAGTTGCCAGAACTAGAAAGAGCTGGCAGAAACACCACCCTAACCTTCCCCTAAGTATTTATGGATATTTAGGTTCTTCTTTCAGGGATCACTCCAGGAGCTACCTGGCCACTCCCTGGAGGAAAAGCTTTCAAAGGAAATGACATCCCGAAATCTTTTTCTTCCATTAATCACCTTTGTTACTAAAGCCCTTCACTTTCCCAAATCCTCTACTTTCTCAGAATCCCACTGGTCCAAACAAAAAGGATAATAAGATAAGGTATTGCTTTAGACATAAAAATGGAATGAAATATTCCCAATGAGAAGTTCTAAAATCCACTGTGCTCTCATTTCCGGTTTTTACTTTGTTACTAATTATACTTCAGAGAGATGGCTAGGATCATGAGTCAGGACTTTAAAGTGTGTTCACTCTACATGAAAAAAGAATCCAAAACACAAATTCACAATGGTTAGGGAAGGCCAGGTTCCTGGACAAAGAACCCAACTATTTGTTTACCAACAGAACCAATTCTTTTGCATTTGAAAAAGTAATTAAGCCTATTCAATTAATTAAATTTCTTTAATGTCATGAAAACTGCTGACATCCATTTTAGAGATTTTTTTTTTGGTGGGGGGGGTATAGGGAATTGAACCCAGGAGTATTTTACTAGTGAGCCACATTCCCACCCCTTTTTATTTTTTATTTTTATTTTTTTATTTAGAAACAGGGTCTTGCTAAATGGCAGAGCTGCATAGCCTCACTAAATTGTTGAGGCTGGCTTGAACTTGAGATCCTCCAGCCTCAGCTTCCCAAGTTGCTGGGATTACAGGTATATACCACTGTGCCAGGTTTTTTGAGATCTTATATGCCAAAGTGGTAGACAATGTTATAAGGAAAATAGCAGAAGTCAGTTAATTAAAAACAAACAAAAAACAAACAAATCCTATATACTAAGATTTCAAATTA